TGATAGCACGGTACCTACGTTTTAGACAGAGGGGGTTGATAGCACAGCTACTGTAGTCGTAGCCCTTGTCCCAAAGCTGACGTGCTAGTTTCACGGCAAGTTTACGTTGGTCTGGTTTCACCGCCTTCCCTTGCCAGATGTAAAACTCGGTCCCGTAATCAAAGATGAGGACCTGCAAAACCAAACAGGGTCAAGGTAGGAGTTAGCAGGAATGAAATCATTTGTGATTTGACGCCAATTCAGGAATTGAGTAAAGAGCCCTAACTCCATAAATAACGGTTGGATACTGGTGGTTATCGAACTCGTCCGAGCTTTTGAGGTAATTAATCGACCTCCCTATCACGTGTGTATAGAGGTAATTAATCGACCTCCCTATCACGTGTGTAAAAAAAGATTAACATTTCCTTTTGACATATTACAGAATTCAGCTGAGCACAAACTTATGCACACACATATTATTTTGTCATACAACATTATAAATCAGTTCCTAAGAGCACAGCTGGTTTCTAGTCCTCGTTGGTATTCTCTTGATATATATTTCTTTTGAAGAACAAACTCACCTGATCTTTCTTGAGCATCTCGTACTTTGGGACGGTGCCCCAGTACTCTTGGTAAGGCTGGAGAGTGTTGTCTTTTAGGTGGTACACCATGTTGGTTTCCACAATGTGGTTCTCATATAACTCATCCTCCTCTGTGGGGCCTACCGCTATAAATAGAACAGGAAATCACGTCATAGGCTATATATAGAGGAGCAGTATGTGATGTCATACTTATAAATAGACCAGGAAAACATGTTATCAGTTGTAATTAGAACACAAAATATTGTTATTACTGACAAAAATTGTAAACAAGTCATGATGGTGAGAGGTATAAATAGCTGAGGAAATGACCAGAAAAATACAAAGCTATGAATTTAAAACAGAATACTTAAATATGCCAATTTGAGTATGCCCAGAAATAATTTAAAAGTGAAAAACTTTTCTTGGTTAAGAAAAAAGAAAGATTTTTACTTTTGCACTTCTTTTTACTTACGAGCGATTTCCTTCTGCCCTCCAAGAGCAGCCCAGAACTGTTTGCCTGTGCCGAGGTGTTGGCGAGCTTCCTCCACGGAACCTACTGCGGTAGCTCCCTTACAGCCCATGTCCTTCTTCTGAACAATCATTGAGGCCACATCTGCTGCCTAAAAATACACAAGTGTAAAAAATTAACAGGTGGATCTCACAAATACCTGGTTTAAAACATGAACTTATACACACTACCTGATGATATATGGGCAAAGAAGTAATAACGATAGTGCAGCCAAAGGAATTTGTCAAATTTTCAGGGTGATATGTTCCTTTGTCAAGATAGAAACATGGGCACTTACGTATCACAACATTTAGCAAGAAAAAAATCCTTACTGGATACATTAAGATGTACAAAATATGCAGGGACCATCTTAGGAAGAGCTCATTCCGGGATTAAAACATGGAGGTGTACACAATAATCAGGGACCATCTCAAAACAAGAATTCCATAGGAGTGGATGTGTCGCCTTCTCAGCACTTTTATTAAACTTGACAGAAAAACCCGTAATATATGTTTAACATTATTGCTCCTGGCATTACCGTACAAAATTTGAAAGGAATTGATTAAAAAATAAAAA